CCTCTTCCTCTGATTTTTCGAGTGCCTCGGGCTTTGTTATCAGAATTTTTCTTTGTGCAGGGAAATTGGTATGAAGAGTCTGAGCCAAAGGGTGACCGGATAATTCCTTGAGGGCGGGTCACTCAGGAGCTAATGCACTCATTCTCCTGGCTGAAACCCCACCCACTTGCTGCACCACCACCAGTGGAAGTCTCCTGGACTGTGCCAGCGAGAGGTCATTGGTGCAAGGAGGATGAGGTCCACAGGACTCGTCCAGCATTCTCAGGGGGATCCGTTGCAGTTGTCTGAAATGGTGGTCCACAGCCGGGCAGGGAGAGTTGGGGGCAGACGAGAGGGCCTGGAAAGTAACAGCACAAACTCAATGTTGGCCACAAATGAGGTGCGGTGGCTGCAAAGAGCCCCTGCACTGTGTGCTTTCTGGATAGAGGGTCCAGTCTTCCCCCAGGAGGCACAGACCAGCCCCCAAGAACATGTTTTTTGTTCTGAGATCCATCCCACAGTGAGGATGGTAACAAGTGGAAATTTATCTAAAGATGACTTTTGGGGCTGGGACTGGGGCTCAGCGGTAATGCACTTGCCTTGCATGTGTGAGGCACTGGGTTCGATTCTCAGCACCACGTGTAAATAAAATAAAGATCTATCAATAGCTAAGGGAAAAATATTTTAAAAATAAATAAAGATGACTTTCAAGAAGGTTAAAGGAGTCCAGGGACCATGTCATGGAGGAACAGTTGGGAAGAAAGGGAGAAGGAACCTGAAGAAGGGACAGAGAAGGACATTACAGGCTAGTGGCTGGCCTCTCCCATGATTGCTCCAGTGTTGTTTGGGCTGATGTGGGTGGAGCATGCCAGGGACTGCTGGATGATGTTTTGGAGGCTGACCCTAAGCCAACATGGGGATGACTGTCAGGGTCAGTGGAAAGGGGCCGTCCCATATCAAGAGTATAGTTTAACACACAAATAGAACACCAGGTGATGTACTATTCACCAGACAGATGTTATTTCTGAAACATCGTCCTGAGTGCACTATAGTTGGCTGTTGCCGATGCTGGTTTAAAGTCAGGCGACACTTCTCTTCCCTTAAAACTCTTGGTGTACCTTTGGGCTGTGCAGACCCTTCTTGGGAGACAAGCCAATCCTAAATCTGAGGAGGCTCTGAGACAAGACACTTCTCCCTGCCCTGGTAAGTCTTTTATTTTTTTCCAGTACTGAGGAGCTCACCCAGCCCCCACCCCCGTGCTAGGCAAGCGCTCTACCACTGAGCTACACCGCCAGCTCTTGTTATTTTGAGACAAGGCCTTGCTAAGTTGCCCAGGCTGGCCTTGAAATCAAGATCCTCCTGCCTCAGCCTCCTGAGTAGCAGGGATTACAGGCATGGGCCACCATGCCTGGTTTTACATAAGTCATTGTAACAGCACACAGTGGACCCCCAGGTGCTCGTAGAGGAGCTCTGTGTGGCATGCCCGGGCACACACAAGCCCTGCAAAAATCTGTGGTGAGACCAAAGACATTGACCTTTGCTTCATGTAAACCCCAAATCCAACCTCTTCCTGAAGGTGAAAGTTCCCTTACTGGAGCAAGTAGGGAAGAGTCACATTCCCCCATGAATGTGTGACCCCATGTGCTTAGGGGTCCAATGTGGGACAGAGGGGACCCCTCAATGCAGAGTGTGTTCTGATCACAGCCTCCCAGCTTGGTTCTCCAGTGGCCTCCTATTTCCTCCAGGTTCATGTCCAAAGTCTTTAATGTGACTCCACATCCCCATTTAATCTCCAGCCTTCCGTGTTTCCATTGCCATCCACACTGGGGCTTAGGATCTTGGGTGTGTCACACTTTCATGGGGGCTGCGAGCCTTTGCTCCTGCATTCTCAGCCTGGAGCACTGTCCACCTTCCTCCCTTCCTCCTCTCACCTGGCCCAGCCAAACACAGGTGCCCTGCCCTACCCTGACTGCATTACGTGCCCTGCCAGACCCCACAGCAGAACCGCAGTGCAGTGTGGAGCCCTTGCTCACATTCCTAGGACCTAATGCAAGCCAGGTACATTGTTAAATGCACCAGGAACCCAGTGTTTTGGCAGTTCCAGGTGTGTCCTGAACCAGCAAAACTCTCTTGTCCCCATGTGATAGAACACAGCAACCCTGCAGGGGGTCCCAGTTTCTGAGTCACCACAATAGCTTTCCTGGGACCTCTTCCCCAACATATCTAGGGCAGGGCCTCCATCATTGGCACCTCCTTGTAAATTTGGACCTCGGGCTGCCTCATGCATGAATGGCACACTCCTTCCATTTCTTCTATGGACTCTAACAGCTGGGCCAAGATGAGAAAGCTGGGACAGCAAAGGAGTTACTTTAAAGAGAGAACTTCCCCTTGTCATCTGCTACCCACCCAGAGTTCCTGGAAGAAGGCTCTTTGGTAGGTTATGTAATTGTCAGTCCTCAGACTGAGGGCCCAACTGCAAACACAAAACCCTCTCCTACTCCCAAGATGTGGGAGGTGGTGCCTGGGTTCTTAAAGGGCCAAGAGAGTGCTGTGCTCTCTACTTGGGACTTCTACCCTGGACACCTCCACAGGGTAAGAAATCACACCAGGTTCCTTCTCTGGAGCCTGCAGAACAGACCCTCCTGATGGATAGGGTGGCCCTGGAAAGTCAGAGAATGGCTGAATTGTATTCTTTTCTTTTTGAACAATCTCAAACAGAAAATCTACAATTACAAGACAAAGAACATTTTCCCCCTAAACCATTCACCTGTAAACCGTTGACCTGGTTGATCAAAACCTGGATGATAACAGGCCCCATCACTTGTCCTGATTGTGTGTGTCCTGAGAGTGGAAGGGTCCAGTCCAGAATCACACATTGCATTTAGTTCTGGGTCTTCTCTCCTCCAATCTACACTGGTCCTGAGCTGGGAGCTGGGCTGTTCTGAAAGTTACTAGCAGGCATTGAGTAGAACGCCCCTCAATTTGGACCTGTCTCTGCCTGGCAGGGTGTGATTCTGTGCGCTCCCAGCACACTACCCCTGTGTGCTGCTCCGTGTTCCATTGCTATAGACATTTACTTTGGTCCCTTGATTGGGGTGATGTCTGCCACACTTCTCCATTGAGAAATTGCCCTCTTTCTCTTTGTAAAGGAGAAATACTTTCAAATACATCACAATGAATCCCACCATTTTGTATACTTAGAATGCACCAGTAAAAAAAAAAAATTAAGAATAATATTTTGTGAGTAGATACTTTGAGAGCAAGTCACCATCCCATTGAGGAATTCTCCTGTTTATTTATATTAGTGTGTGCTTTGGGTTTCCTATTTTAGTCTGTTACTATCACTATCTTGGTGCTCAATTTGTCTCTGGTTTTGGCCACCGGAAGCTCCTGGCTCTGTGCTCCGCTGACGTGTCCCCATCAGTGTTTAAACACTCCCTTGCTTTCTGGCAAAACAACATGTTCTGGGTTCCTTTTCTGCTTCCCCTGTCCCGTCCTGGAATCAGCCATTTCTCCAAGATGCTCTGATTCCTTGAGTGGAAAGTGTGTTTGGGAGCCAGTTCTTGAGATGCACGGAGGCTCCAGGCTTTGGAGAACTTGTTGCTTCAAGGGCCTCCCAGTGACAGCTGGGGAGCAGACGCATATACACGTTGACATCTGGATTCAGGGGTTTATCTTTATATGTTCAAGTCCATAAGGGCTGGCCGTCACTCTGATTTTAATCCTTTTGTGTTAGCTTTTTGATGCTGTGACAAAATACATGAGAAGAACAACTTAAAAGAGGCAAGGTTTATTTGGCTCACAGTTTCAGAGGTTTCAGTCCAAGGTCAACTGGCTCCATTACTTTGGGCTTGAGGTGAAGCAGAACATCATGGTGGGGAGGGTGTGGTGGAGGACAGCTGCTCAGCTTGGCAGCTGGAAAGCAGAGACAGGGAGGGAGCGAGGTGGAGAGGGAGAAAAGGGCAGGAAACAAAATATGTTCTCCAAGAGCACACTCCCAGGGTCCTGCTCCCTTCAATTAGTCACCCCCTCCTACAGTTTCCACCGCCTCCCAATAATGCTGTCAGTTATGAATGCAGGAATGGATTAATCCATTTATGAGACCAGAGCCTCCATATCCAATCACTTCCAAAGCCCCAGCTCTGAATACTGCTGCATTGAGGAACAAGCCTTTAGCACGTGAGCCTTTGGGGGGACATTCCAGATGGAAATCATAACACCCACTCCGTAGGATTCATTCTAGTTTTTTCTTTCTCCATATGCATAAATCCTCTCTTTGGCAAGGAGAAACCTGGCTCCCCTTCTCTTTAGTAGACTCACTTATCAATCAGTGCTCAACAACCTCCCATCTCGGCCACTGTCCTCTCCCCAACCAGACCCCGCCCCTTCACTTGGACCCAGTGCTCCACACAGGGCCTTTGCTTTCCCTGGGGAAGCCTCCCTCCACCCTGCTGGGCTCTGACACCCCGCACCAGGTGTTGAGAGGACATTCCTCCTGCTTCCTGACACCTGCCCTGGGACACTATGATCCTCCCACCATGATTACTTCCTTCTCCCCTCTCTCATGGCTCCTGGACAGGATTGTTGAGGAAGGACATACGTCTTTGAAGAAGACTTCTCTTGTGTTTTTTTTTAGCCCGAAGAGACAAAATAAGCCTAACAAACATTCTAAACCAACCAGTGAGCCCCAGACCACCCTGTCCCTTCACGGCTGGGTAGCTTTGGCAAATCTCTTCACCTCATTGAGGCTCAGTTTCCTCAGCGGTAGAAATGACATGGTGCTGGTGTGAGGTTTCCGTGAGCTCACACCAGCGGACAGTGTGGCCTGCTCTGGCCCCAGGAGACTGCTCAGCAGATGTGAGCTGTGAGGTTGATAGTGCATTTCTCAGAATCCTTAAAAAACGATGACTCTCTTTTGGAAGGCAGGGCCAGGCTGTGGAGTGGGTGTTCCTCGGGCAGCACAGCTCTGCGGCTCCCAGGCCGTCCTCCTTTTGCAGGATTTTTTTTTTTTTTTTTTTTTTGGCATGCTTGCAGCCAAGTCTTGGGAGGGTTTCCTGGACAGAGGTCCTTGTGGCCGCTGCCTTAAGACTTGCGGCCGAGGCTGCCACTGCTTTCTGACCCAGGCCACTGCAGGCAGCAGTCCCCACACACACAGCATGGAGCTCTGGGGAGCCTACTTCCTCCTCTGTCTCTTTACTCTCCTGACCCCCATCACTGCTGAGTCGCCAACCCCCAAGGCCAAGAAGGCTGCAAATGCCAAGAAAGGTAAGCTGGGGATCACGGCCCCTCCCCATCTTCCAGGAAGCAGGTCACCCCCTCCTTTGTGTGACCTCATGCTCCTTCCTTTCATTTCCTCCCTGATGGGTCGTCCTGAGAACTTTGGTGAAGTGCCCTTTGGGGGCTAAAGGAGTTCTCTCTCTCTCTCTCTCTCTCTCTCTCTTTTTTTTTTTTTTTTTTGCTCTGGTGCTAAGAATTGAACCCAGGGCTTTGTGCATGTGAGGCAAGCACTCTACCAACTGAGCTGTATCCCCAGCTCTGCAGAGTTCTTTTAAGGGGGGGGGGATTGCCAGAACCATAAGGGCCCCAGACTCTTAAAATTGGAAAGAACCTTCCAGATCATCTGAACTGACATCTGCTCCCCCAACTCCTCAGCCTTTTAAAGAAACCAAACCTTTGGTTTGGCAGTGTGGAGATGCTCAACTCCCACCAGGGGGTACTGTGAGTTCGTGCTTTGTAATCTCAGGACCTTGCTTTTCTCAACTGTAAAATGGGGAGAGTGGTAGTTGCTCAAAGGTTTTTTGTGAAGATTTGATGATGCTAATTAGGTAAAGACACCTAGCTCAGGGTCTGGCACATCTTCCAGGCAGCAGGGCACAGGGCGTGCTTAATGCACAGGGGAAAAGAGGGGACAAGGAAATCTCAATTCTGTTGGGTGTCACAGCCTGTCTCTGCTGCCTCTGGGGTGTGGAGTGCTCTTAGATTGCCTTGGTTGCATGAGACCTGCCCTGCGGCCTCTCCAGCAGTGAGGTCACCCTGGGCTGCTTGGAGACACCAGCTGAATGTGATGGCAATAGATGGGGCTGTTGTCCCACAGGCTCAGAGGCCAGCAGAGAGAGTCCAAGGAGGAGAGGGTGGGGATTTAGGCAGAGAAACAGGCTGCCAGAGCCAAGACCCAGCAAAGGAAGGAAAGAGGGTGGGGTGTCCTCTGCCCTTCTCCAGCTCCTCTGTAAATGGGACAGTGAGCACATAAAGGTCCATGGGGACCATGGAGCCTGCAAGGCTACAACAAAGAATAGGGCAGATCTGGGAACTGCTAGGGAAAAGGTTCGGGGCTTGGGGTGGTATGTGTGAGGCCCTGGGTTCCATCCCCAGAACTGCAGAAAAAAAAAATTAAAAATCAATCTCCAAGACTGAGCTTACAAAGTGAACAAAACAGGATGGATACTGTGCTAACATTTATTTTGGAGAAGGGATTAGTGTAAGAGTACACATTAATTGTATATGCATAGAATTTTTCTGGAGGGATCCACAAGAGCAAATAACAGTGGCTACTTCTGGGAAGGCAAACAGGTTGTGAGGGAGAGTATAACTTTTTGAATGGTTTGAAATTTTAAATTATATGCATACATAACCTTTTACGAAATATCCATTTAAAAGAGATGGTTAATATCCATGAGCATTAGTCAGTGGTCACCAGGGGAGATTCTTTGTGAAGGAGGCAGCTCAGAGCAAATAAGAGAATTTCCTTTCTTTTTTAAATTTTTTTTTTTAGTTGTAGATAAACACAATACCTTATTTTACTTATTTATTTTTATGTGGTGTGGGGGATTGAACCCAGTGCCTCACATATTCTAGGCAAGCGTTCTACCACTGAGCTACAACCCCAGCCCCAGGAGAACCTTCTTTCTTTCTTTTTTTTTTAAATTTTTTTTTATTTTTTGCACCAGGGATGAACTCAGGGGCACTTGACCACTGAGCCACGTCCCCAGCCCTATTTTGTATTTTTATTTAGAGACAGGGTCTCACTGAGTTGCTTAGCGCCTTCCTTTTGCTGAGGCTGGCTTTGAACTGGTGATCCTCCTGCCTCAGCCTCCCAAGCCCCTGGGATTACAGGTGTGGTTCACTGTGCCTGGCCCCAGAAGAACTTTCTAGTGTAGAAAATAGTTGCTAATTCCTCAAGTTTACTGAAGATTTGGTATGTGTTTATTTAATTTGTAATTTATGTCTTCAGTGGTGTAAAAGGAGGGGGTGAGAGAAGGCAAGGCCTTGATCCTTCCCTGCTGACACCCGGGCCTCTGCCCCAGCGGTCTCCATGCCTTGGAGGCCCAGGCCTCGGGAGCCCTCACAATAGCACCAGAGCCCACCTCAGCGTTTTGACTCTGGTTGGATTTTCTTCCTTCCAGCGAAGCTATGGAGCAGTCCCTCTGTGCTAGACTGATACACACAGTAGCCTGGAAGCATGGTCCCTGCTCTTAGGATGGGAACTGGGGTGCTTTTCTTTCAAGCAGCAGCATCCTGAAGTGGGGGGTCACGTTATAATCCAGGTGCTGGGCCCCCCCAACAGAGATACCCACTCAGGGTTGCAGTGGCCCTGACACTGCCTTTCCCAAAGGTCTCCAGTGATTCCCAGGACTGAGTCCTAGCAGCCACCTTGTTATGGGGCTGCACACAGATGTGGGGGACGGTGCCCAGGCCTCGAGGTAGAGAACACGATGGCAGGGCTGGCGAGAGGAGGGAAGGACAGGGTGGGTTAAGGCCCTGCCCTGGCCCCAGGGTGGACAAGAAGGGGGGCCCGGGTGTTTCTGGGAGCTCACCTGCTCCTCCTGTGGCCTATGACCTGGCTGCTGATGGATGTCAGCCTGAGCTGGGGCATGCAGGGAGGGCTCAGGGCTGGAGCTCTAGGGGCCACGTGGCCACAGCTGGCCCAGGAGTTTGGGAGGGCAGAATGTCCTTTTAAGGGTCACAGCCCTTAGAACAGGGACCCGGGGGAACCTGGAGGGCATTCACTCCAACAGCGCCCATCAGGAACCCAAGCCCTGGAGGCAGAGGGGCAGCACTGGGCGCCCTGACTCCTTGCCCAGACTGTAGGGACACCCCCAACTCCCACACCTTCCTCGGTTAGCGCCTTGCTCCGTGGTCAGTCCCGGGAGGATCTGACACATCCAGGCATGTTTACACAAAGTATGAAAGGTACCCGCTTTGAACTGACAAATTATTAAATTATTATTAATTAAAGACACCTCTTTTTCTGGTCTGACCCAGCCTAGCCAGGACAAGGCTTAGGACCTGCACATGGACCTCAGCTGAAACCCTTGTGCAGTACCCAACTTGCACAACCTCACATGGTGCCCTGTGCTGGTGCATTAGATGAGTGGGTCCAGAGCTGCTGTGAACTCAAAGGCTGAGTCAGAGGCTGGGGGTGAGGCACATGTCACCCCATTGCTAGTTTGCCAGCCCCCCAGCCCTCTCTTTTTGCCTTGCTCATCTGGGTGTTTCTTTCCTCGTGTTTGACAAGCTACATCACTAATCTCTGTATATCAAAAGTCAGGGTGTTGTGTGCAATTTCCCTGCAAAGGCTCAAATGGGTGGACAAAGGCTCTGACCTCAGCCCTCGTGAATGTGGACCGTAAACTGACACAGCCAAAGCCTTTCCCCACCCTCTACCCAGAGCTCAGTGCAGCCCTTACAGAAGCCCCTGGAGTTTCAGAAAGACTGGGGTCCACCCAGAGATCTCTGAACTCACACACATGAACAGATCTGTGTTCCCGCCCGCCCCTGCCCACACACCACACACATAACCAGCTCCCAACAGGCTGGCTCCCAGTTATAGAAGGCTGGCCTCAGTTTCCCAATTTGTGAAATGCTAGTGTTATAGAACGACACATTTCCCAAGGCACGAGGTTGATAGCACCACACAATGGCACATGGGAAGGTCGAGCCTAAACCTGGCCTGCAGCCGTCACTAGCGCACTGGCGGTTAAACATGAAAACCTGGTTGCTTCCACTTGTGCACGTGTAACTGGATGGGTGCACCTCCGTGCTAAGTGGGAGCTAGGTGGTTCCAGGCTTACAGAGTCCTCTGAGCTGGATTGTTATCCTCCCATTTTATAGATGAGGAAACAATTCAAAGAGGCTGAGCAATTTGTCCCAGGTCACCCATGTCTGCCACCTGCCAGCCCCTGCAAATGGTGGCATTCTGTTCCTTTGTTCCCGGGCTGAAGAGCCTGTCCTGCTGTTCTGTGCTCCTTCTTCCATCTTAGGGAAGTGGTCTTTAGGCTCTCAAGGGCCCTTGTCCCTGCTGTCAACTCTTCTGGAGCTGACAGGGTGGCTGCTCCCTGGCCCCTGCCAATCCCAGCCTCATCCAATCCCCAGAAAAAATGGGGACATAGTGCATTGAAGTGGGAGCAAGTGAAGGATGGGTCTCACTTGGATCCTTTCTGCATTCACACTGGCCATCCTGTCCTTTGAAAGTGCCATCCTCTGTCCCTCCTAGTAGGTCATTGGAGGACCACTACCAGGGACAGAGAAAGAGAGAACTCACCCAGAGAGCAAGGCTGAGGGGAGTCCTTTCCCTTGTCCATCTGAAGCTGGTCCTCTCTGCCTGTCCCTTCCCTGTCCTGGTCTCTACTTCCTTCCTCACGTGTTTGTGACTGTCCCCATTTTCTCCTGACTTCATCCTAGATGTCGTGAGCCCAAAGATGCTTGAGGAGTTTAAGAACCAGCTGGACAGCCTGGCCCAGGAGGTGGCCCTGCTGAAGGAACAGCAGGCCCTGCAGACGGGTGAGTGGGGCCCTCTCTGGGCAGGAGCACAGCTGAGAGCCCAGGCTGGTGGCTGTGGCCAGGAAGGTGTCTCTGACTGCCAGCCAGCATCAGGGCCCTGGCTGCATTAGGCCAGGCCTGCAGGCCAGGGCAGCAGGGTCAGGGAGCCCTGTCCCCAGCCCGCTTCCTCTGGAGAGATCCCTGACCAGACCCAACCAGGCATGCACAGCTGTCTCCGCCCACAACAGGGAGGTGTGGCAGTTGAACTGCCCCAGGAGGGCAGGAGGCTCCCCAACAGGAATCATTACTGCCCAGGAGAAGTAGGACCCCCAGGCCACTCCAGGGACAGAGGTAGTGGCCCAAACTGACATAGCTCCCAGGAGATGCTCCACTGAACAGCTTCCGCAGCCCTGGAGCCATGCTAGACTCAAAGTCATGTCAGCAGTGTGACTGGTGCTGTCCCTTTGAGTCATCTGAGGCAGGACTAATCACCTCCAACTGAGCCCAGTGAGGCAGGGAGAGATCTGCACCCAGTCCCACAGAGCAGGAAGCTCTCTGGTCTGTGCCACACTGGGGATCAGGCTTCAGCCCTCCTGGCTCTGCACTCCCCTGGCCAGCAAAGATGTGTGACATCGCACAGCTGGGGACTAAGGTCATAGCCACCTGTCCAGCAGCCTGAGAGCTCCATTCTCCATACTCCGAAGTCTCACCCACTCCTCTATGACCTTGGCCTCCAGTCCAGGGAGCAGGGAAACGCAGTGTTCTCTCGGGTGGTCATCTACAGTGCCTGGTGCTGTTCCAAGTGTTTAATGCATATATAGAGGTCCAAGGTGCTCTCTTCCGCGTCTGCTGATTCCTAGGAAGTCCCTGGCTTCCTGAGGGATCTCCTTCTGTAACCACATCCCACAAATCACCTTGATAGTGAACCCACCCACAGCAAACAAAACCAATCAAACCAAAGTGTATAAATCAGGGCTTGTGGAGGTGAGGCTTCTCCCCTGTCCTCTGCCCTTTTTTCCCTTCCCCCGTCAGCAATGCATGTGAAGGACCCACGCAGTATGGCAGAGCCAGGCACAAAGAGACAGCTGCTTTGGGAAAGGGGTGTGGCCTTGGGCCAGGTGGCTGTCTCCTACAGAGGCAATCCCCCCAAAGGGCTGAGGGCAGAGGGCTGTCTTTCTGCACATTTCCAGAAGCAAGTCCTTCATCCTTAGGGGGGCCTAGGCAGAGTGCCAGTGTCCCCAGCAGGAAGAAAGCCTGGTGTGGCTAAGCTGCAGGTCAGCACGAGGCAGAGTGGCTGAGTTGGGACAGAGTGTGTGACTAGATACCTCTGTGAGGCCTCAGGTCCCTGTTGAGGGTTGACAAATGCCCATGGGGGCATACATGGAGATGTTGCTCTGTTGATATTTGCTGCATGGAGTGGAAGTAACCAGGTGAGCAGGTGAGTGAGTTGTAGGGGTAAAATGGGGGAGGTGGAATGCTGTGCCTGACATTTGTAGGGCAGCAGCATAAGGCACACACCCCATCTGTCTACATATTTAACTTAGAAGTTAAGCGATAAAACAAACTGCTCAACAAAAACACCTCTGTCCTCCTAACTTGACCAAATAGTATTTCCTACAAACTTTGAGGCCAGATTCAATTTGAGAATTCTTAAGAGTGCCCACCTCTTCTGTTTTGTCTTCTGAGGGTCTTGCAACTTCAGCCTGCAGCGCTCAGTCCCTGGGAGATCTGACCTGGGAAGAGGGCCATTGCAGGCCAGGGATCACAGGTCCCAGGTTCCCGGGTGTGGTCCAGCTCAATGTGGGCATGCACCCTGGCCATGCAAGCCCTGGGATATTAGAAGGGTGAGGCAAAAGGACCATAGCTGGGTTCCCTGGGAGGCTGGCTCTGAGATGGAGTGAATCCACACTTCTGGGGGTGCAGGGAAGGGAGTGCAATGTAATGGGGTAGGGGAGAGTTGACGTTAGCCTCCGTGTGTGACCCCACAAGAGCCAGAAAGTGAAAAGAGCCCTTGAGAATCATCCTGCTTTGAATGGAGGTTCCACTCCCTCAGGTGGCTCTCAGCAGCAGAGAACGGGATCCCAGTGGCAGGAGTTTCAAGAACAAGGATCTGGGCTCTGTGCCTCAGTGTCCTTCACAGCAGGGTCTTTTTGCCGGAGTCTAGGGGCTGTAAAGGTCGTAGAAGATGGGATGAAGGATGGTGGGCCTTCCTGGGGCTGAAGAGGGTGGCTCTTTGGCTTGGAACCGGGGGCCCGCAGTGACAGCCATCTCTCCCCCTCTCAGTCTGCCTTAAGGGCACCAAGGTGCACATGAAGTGCTTCCTGGCCTTCCCCCAGCCGAAGACCTTCCACGAGGCGAGTGAGGACTGCATCTCGCGCGGGGGCACGCTGGGCACGCCGCAGACCGGCTCCGAGAACGACGCCCTGTACGAGTACGCGCGCCAGAGCGTGGGCAGCGAGGCCGAGGTGTGGCTGGGCCTCAACGACATGGCAGCCGAGGGCTCCTGGGTGGACATGACCGGCGGCCGCGTGGCCTACAAGAACTGGGAGACCGAGATCACGGCGCAGCCAGACGGCGGCAAAACCGAGAACTGCGCCGCCCTGGCCGGGGCGGCCAACGGCAAGTGGTTCGACAAGCGCTGCCGCGACGCGCTGCCCTACATCTGCCAGTTCGCCATCGTGTAGCCGCTGGCGGTGCGGCCGAGGAGGGAGACCCGGGGCGGGAGGGGTAGGGGTGGCGGGGTCCCGGGGAGGGGCGGGGATCGCGCGGTCCGGGGATCTTAGGGCGCCCGGGGAGTGTCAGGGGAGACCTTGCTGCTCCCGCCCTGGTGCCTCCTCTTGCAATAAAGTCGGTGCAACTTCTGGAGTCCCTGGGGTCTGTGCTCCGTGCGCCGGGCGGGGCGGGGCCGAGCGGCGGGGCGGGGCCGAGCGGCGGGGCGGACTCGGGAGGCGGGGCCAGAAGGCTGGAGCTGCATATGCAAGAAGCCAGCTGAGCACAAGGGTTCCCACCACCCAGGGATACACAATGGGAAGACCGGACAGAGGACCGGGTCGGGGGAAGGGAGTGCGAGAGAGCGGCTCTTTTTCTTTTTATAACTTTGTGTACCTAATCTCAGACTTCCAGAAAAGTTCCCCAGATGTTATCATTTCCTTATATTTGCCTAAGCCTTTTATTAGTTTTTGACAGTAAATGCATTCGATTCCCGTTTATCCCTAAATACTTCAGTGTGTGTTTCCTGAAAGCAAGGATATGGTCTTACACAAGCAACAACACGTTTATCAAAATCAGGAAATAAACTGATCTGGTATTGTTATCTAAGTTACAGTTGTTATTCAAATTTTCAGGTTTCTTTTTGTAGACCCTCTTCCATCTGTTGGAATCCTGCACACCCACCACCCCCTCCATTTCTCCTCTTCCTGGGGATCTGGGATGCACTGAAATACTGGGACCTGCTGTAGGGTAGGGGAGGAGTGGGGAACATCCATCCACCTTCTACCTCAACACACCCTGGGGCTGGGGGGGTGGTCCAGGAGCCAAATGTGGCAGTCACCAACACTTCCCCACCAATGACCAAAGTGTCCCCTTCCTTCATACTCACAGAAGGCTAGTCAGGGGGTCCAAGTGTTGCTCCATGTTGTCATGGAGCAGTTTTGAGCCCACCATATTGGAGGAATTTTTACTATTATTATTAGTAGAAGTAGTACCACCAGAGGTACTTAACCACTGAGCCACATCCTCAGACCCTTTTAGTTTTTATTTAGACAGGGTCTCACTAAGTTGCTTAGGGCTTTGTTAAGTTGTTGAGGCTGGCTTTGAATTTGCAATCCTCCTACCTCAGAGTCTTGAGCTGCTGGGATTACAGACGTGCATCACCATGTCGGGCATGGAACTTCAAACATGTCATCTGGTTTAGTTTTCTCCACTCAGGATGAGAAGTGTCATGACCATCATTTTACAGGAAAGGAAATCAAAGCTCAAGGAAGTTCAGTGGCTTCTGTTGGTCACAAAACTAGTAAGTAGTAGCCGAGTCAGAATTTAACCTAGGGTTCATTCCAAAGCCATTGGCCTTTGTAGCACCACTGCATGTTTGCTTCCTGTGACTGGAACTTGCCTGAAATAAAATTAAGAGGTGGTCTAATGTTCCCCAGAGGGTATTGGCCAGCTCCTGGCAAGACCTGGCCCCGTCAATCACCATAAGCCTGGCTCTAGTGACACCTTCCGGGTGACGTTTTCTGCACCCCTCAGCGGTGGCCATTGCTCTACTGTCTGGATTTCCATATCACCTTTTGCTCCCTATCTTCTATTGTGTCTTGCCTTCAGTGATAAATGGATGATAGTTGATATGCTGATGCGGTGGGTTGGGGAGGCAGCTTACAGTGAATGTTGTACCTACTCTGTGCCAGGAAGTCTGTTTGTCATTATCACAGAAAGCATCTCACAAAACTTAACATATGGGAGGAGGTGATGAGATCCGTTGCTGGAAGTACAGAAACTGAGACTCAGAAGGACGATGCCATATGTTCAACATGGTCCAGCAAGTGAGGGGCAAAGCTGAGGCTCAAATCTGTCTTATAACTCAGTTCTGAACTCTTTGACCCCCGCTCCCTGGGGCTGAGAGTGGCCAGGGTTTTTTCAGACTTCCTAAAATGAGTGGCTGCCCTCAAGAGGACAGACACCACTAGCCTCTGTGAGAGTAGGACCTGGTGGGAAGGTAGTCACTGGGCCACCATCTGGGCCGGCAGCAAGCATTACCTAGCTCCAGCAGCAGGTGGCAGTATGGGCAAGAGAATCATTGCACATCTTTGACCTACCTCTAATGCTCTTGCTTGTGGGACACCTGTCCTCTGATTTTGTCTCTTTTATCGGAGGTTCTCACTGCTGGCCTTGAGCTCCTGGGCTTCTGGGAGCCTCCCACCTCAGCCTCCTGATGATCCTGTCTTTATTTTAAATGTTCACATCTTGTTCATCATGAATATTTTAGCATTAAATATGAAATGATAGTGTGTTCAAATACAATTGATCTGCTTATGGAGGATTTTCTTTGACATCCCCTTAAATTTTGTATCCCTGGTGAGTGCCCCATACACCTCTTTAGTCCCTGATCTGCCTCAGAGGTAAACTTGGGAGCACGTTTTTAGATGTAATACAATGATGGTTTTAAGGGAATCAGTGTCTAACTCTTCATCTCCTGAAATGCGCTACCCAGGCACAGGCTTGGGGCAGAAGCCTCCCCTCCCATTTTCTCTTTAAAATCACCTTTTCCCCTTTTTACAACAGAAAGACCACTCTTTCACCCATCCTGATCTTACTATGGTGTGTAGAAAGCTTTGATGATGCCAAACAAAGGGACAATTTGAAATATTATTAGTGTAGGGGTTGAGAAAGTAAAAGACGGGGCAAACCATCTGTTATGCTTTAGATATGTGGTGTCCCCCAAAAGCTCACATGTGAGACAATGCAAGAACGTTCAGGGGTAACATGATTAGATTATGAGAGTTGTAACCTGGATTAATCCATAGGTATGGATTCACTGGGTGGTAACTGTAAGCAGGCAGGGTTTGGCTGGAGGAGGTAGGTGACTGGGGCAACCCTTTGGGGTTTATATTTTTTCCCCTGGTGAGAGAAGTTCACTCTGTTTTCTGGTGGCCTGAGCTGCTTTCCTCCATCACGCCCTTCTGCCATGATGCTCTGCCTCACCTTGGGCCCAGAGATATGGAGTCAATGTCTATGGAATAAGACCTCTAAAACCAAAGACCTCTGAGCCAAAATAAACTTTTCCTCCTCTAATTGTTCTTGTCAGGTATTTTGGTCACAGAGATGAAAAGGCTGACTAAAACACCATCCTTTTGCAAATTTAGAAGTTTTAATCCTTTCCCTTCAATACCTTTAGGGACGACCCTAACCAAATAACCAGCCAATAGACCATACAAAATAATTCCCGACGATTAAACACTTTTGACCTGAACCTAGAAGTTCAGGTGTTAAGTGACAACCTGGTAACAAAACTCCTTGCGGTCCCACCAGCGTATTTATGCACAAGATTTCATTTTACAAGTATAAAAGTGAAAAAATAGCAATAATGTCAATGCTGAATCCTGCTTCCTTCTAGGACTCATGAACCAATTTTTAAACAACCTACTCCTCTGATTATAAAAATGTGTGAGATGTATCTTCGATGTCTTGATCAGGTGTATGCTAAGAACATGTGCTAGTCAGCTTTCCATTTCTGTAACAAAATACCTTAAATAATCACCTTATAAGGTGGAAAGGTTTATTTTGGCTCATGGTTTCAGTCCATGCTTGCTGGGCCCCCTTGCCTTTGGACCTGTGCAGGCAGAGTACATCCCAGCGGGGGGAGTATGACTCAGAAAAATCTCACCTCATGGCAGTCAAGGAGCAAAAAGAAAGGGGTCCCAATATCCTCTTCAAGGGCACACCCCCAGTGACTTAACTTTCTTCCACCACCTCCCAAATAGCTCTACAAGCTGGGGATCAAGGTTTCAACACATGAGCCTTGGGAGAACATTCCTTATCTAAACTAAAGCCCAGCAACTTGAAAGGGTAAAGTTTCTAAGCTGGAAAGCTTGAATTAAAATGTAAAAGATTAGGTATTATTAAGTTCCACTGTTACACCCAGAACCTGAAATTCCTGAGATAGTTAAAACAACGCCCTACTGGCCATTTAGCCTAGGGCCCTGTGCAGTTTGTCACAGGGCCCGAACCAATCAGTTTGAATGTGTAACCCGCTTAGGAATGACCAATCACCCCGCCCCCCCCCACCAGTTCCCACCAATGAATGTGCTAATCATGTCTCAGAGTTGTTGTTCAATTTTCCCTCGCATCATGATGATTTGTTCTGATGTATGCAAAGCCCACCGCCCTCTCCAGAAAGTGTACTTAAGCTCTGCTTGACCTCTGCTCTCGGTTCTGGGCTGCTCTCCCTTCTTGAGTGAGCACGGTGCCCCAGCGCACTGGAATGGATCCCCAATAAATCCCCTTTTGCCAATTGCATGGAGCCAGTCTCTTGTGTGGTCTCTTTCTCCAACGCTCCGCCGGACCCTTACAAACTGTGTTGGGGGAAATGCTAACAAAATACGTTTGAAGAGCACTGGCTTAAGCCCTGTCTCAGGGAACAGTGGTGCTCTCAGTGTTTGTGGGAATGCCTGAGCAGGAGTGGCTTCCGGCTAGGGGTCTTCTGGGTCTTCCTGCCAGCCCTGCCTCAATGATGTGCTGGGGTCCCGCACTCAGGCCTGGTTGCACCCACTCACTCCCCTCTTCTCATCACCTCTGCTGTTCCTTTCCCACTGGACCCTTTCTGCCGCTGTTCTCCCCCTGCCTGTCCCAGCAAAGGGGAGAGAGAACCGGAAACAGAAAGTGTAGAAGGAGCCATGAACGGGAAACAGGAAGTGTAGAAGGAGCCTTGTGGGCCTGGACAGATCAATTCTGGTGGAGAAGAGGCTGCGCTGGCAAACCTGAGCTGGTCGTAGTAGCACTGGGTGTGGGCCCTGAAGACGGCCCACAGAGCATCCTTTCTTCATCTTCAAAATGAAGTTTGGACTAGCTGATTCCTGAGACCCCTGAGTCCAGGATTCCACCCAGCTGTCTCAGGACTGTCACTGTGGAACCCCCTTCAGATAAGAAAGCTGTTTCCCCGCTTGGGAGGCTGAGGCAGGGAGGATCATGAGTTCAAAGCCAGCTTCAGCAACTTAGTGAGGCCCTACGCATCT